CATAGCTGCCGCTGCTCCTCGACGGGCCGTGGGGGAACTAGATGGGAGGTACAACTACTAATGGCAAATGCTCCATCTTTGTGTTAGCAGGGCTCCTCCCAGCGGCGGTCCCACCCTACTCTCTGACCACCACCGCTTATGGCCATCTATTGGTGCGGGGTGTGGGGGGGGGGAGAGGAACTACATGGGAGGTACAGCTACTGGCAAATGCTCCATCTTTGCATTAGCTCGGGACCTCCCCGGCGGCAGCCCCGCCCTACTCCCTGACCGCCGCCGATCAGGGCACCCTCATGGGGGGTGGGGGTACTAGATGGGAGGTGCAGCTACTTGCAAATGCTGTGTCTCTGCATTAGCTGCCGTGCCCCCCACCCCCCCCCACCCCCCAGCGGCGGCCCCACCCTATTCCCTGACCTCTGCCAATTAGGGCGGGGGGCAACCCCACCCTATTCCCTGACCTCCGCCAATTAGGGCGGGGGGCAACATGCATCCCCTCAATTGTGAGAGGTGGCTATGCTTGCAGGGGTCCCCCAGTATAGGCTTAGGAGTAGTGGTAGGTAGATAGAGGTGGAATTGAGAGAGAAAAGGAAAAGAAAGCGTGAGGGGAGAAGGCACCCTGGCAGGGAAGTTGAGTTGACAGGAAGTGATGGGGGAAGGATATAGGCTTTCGATTAGAGGGATCACCTTCGGCCGTGTTTTGCTAGATTCCCGATTGAAGCACAGACCTGCACCGATCAGATTGGCGAAAGAGCAAAACCGCCCTGTGAGAACGTACGCGAAAACTACACAACATCGCCGCACCAAAACCGCTTGTTCATTGGGCCTCACTCCACTGCTCTTGCAATGTGCAAATTCTGTCATGTATGGGTCTCGCTGCACTGCAACTATCGAGGGTACGAAACGACAGCTCGAAGTCCCCGTTCGTCTTCCCAGACTCAAGGTTCACTCTCCAGATTTGGAGCAAATCGGTGGTTCCTTCGAAGGTCTCTCCCCGTAACGGATTTTGCAGGCTGGGCACTCTCCGACGGCGGAGAATGCAATTCTTTTGTAGCTTCTGACAGCTCTCCGAATTTCTTTTGGGGTTCTATAGCAGAGTTCGCGCAGCCATGCATAAGGGCCTCGCTCCACTACTCTGGACATGCACAAGAGACAAAAATCATGGCGGTGTATATATCCATGTTCTAGCGGAAGATTCACTCTCGTTTTGAACATTTCAAGAGTAGTGCAGCGAGACCCTATGCTACTGCTCACTGGACAGTGCGTGACCGGGTACTCGGACTAGTACCCTCTTCCCCCGAATAAAACGTACGGTCATTAAACTATAGCAGCTAGACTGAAAGATGCCCCAAATACAGCTATAATGACGGTACGTTGTATTCGGGGGAGGAATGCAGCTCTACCTCAAATTTGCCTGACGGCAATTACGTGTCCATAAAGGGGTAAAAAAGTAGACTGAATCCACCACTGGAACTTGGAAAGATACGTTGCCATCTTTTGTCTTTTGTGCATGTGGACAGTAGTGCAGCGAGGACCTAAGACAGTCTGCCGTGATACAATACGATGGGCCTGGCGCCACTACTCATCACATGGACAAGAGTCAAACGAATATGACGGTGTATCTTTTCCCATGTCCTACCACAAGATCTGTTCTCATTTAGCACATTGGAAAGGCCCAGCGATACAGTACCACGCGGCTATTCTAGTCTCTCGCAAACCTGCCTTCGGGAGCTACTTCCACAGATTGGCCCCCGTTACTTCAACAACGGCTTCACAGCAACGGCTCCACGTACTCCCCCACTCTCGTTTCCAACTTCACAAAAACCAAAAAAATGACGGGGTAGCCTCAGACCCCCCCCCTTTCCATATCCATCTGAGGTATCTGCGGACTCGAACTCATGCTGTGTTTCTGAACAGTAACATCTGTGTATCCATGTGTCTAAAAGGCCCTCGCTCCACTACACAGCACACTACATGCATCTAGACGCTATCTGGACCAGGTGCATTGGGACGAGTCCAACACTTCCAATGCATCCGGTCTAGAAGGCTTGTACATGCATGTAGAGTGTTGTGCAGTGGAGCGAGGCCCAAAGCCTCTCAATGTATCATTCAGCCACGGCACAGAACCGCCACCACGCAGAATGATACTCAGGGGAACAACTGGGGGTAGCTACAGACCCATCTGTATCCATCTCATGTATGTTTTTTGGGGGGGGGATTCGAACTCATGGTAATGCGTCTCTCAAAAGTGACATCTGTGTATCATTCCGGTAGAGTACAGCAGTGCCACGCAGCATGACGAAACCTTGGTACAGGGGTGAAGCAAGAAAATACACTCCTTGGGTGGGTGGGTGAAGCACAGATAGAGCTTCCCGAGCCCTCCTTTCCTCAACAGGAAATGCACTCCTTGGGTGGGTGTGGGTGAAGCAGCATACCCTCAGGGCCTCAGCCGACACCCATCCTGTCTGCCAATTCATCATCCGTAGCTGGTTGTACAGGGTCTAAAAATAGCCACCCCCCCAATGAACGGCTTCGAGAGTCGAAACATGGGCCCCGCCAAACTACTCTCCCGCAATCTGCAAAATGGAGCACACACACAGACACACAAATTAAAAAAAAACAAAAACAAATGGAGCACACACCTGCCGTAGGTTTGTTTTCGTCTTGTTTCACATTTTCCGTGCTTGGTGTGTGGCGATTCCCTATGGGTCCTTGGTGCAACAAGCCGCCATCTGCGAAGATTTCGATGGGCAAGCTTTGCTGGAAAATCTTTGGAAGATCGCGACTGGCGCAACTACACCCTAAGTAGACAAACCTTAGGCACCACTGCCCAGCCGCCAACACGTTGAATGCAATCTGGTCTCGAATTTGACCAGATGCATTCAAAAGCTTCGCCCGCGAGTGGTGCAGCCACGACCTGATGATATATAAAGTATAGGGGTATCCAGCAAACCCCGGTTGTGCATCAAATGTCTCCAGTACAATCGCAACACGCGTTTACGTTGTTGATTCTGCTATGCTATTACTAGTGCAGCATGTACAATGAATGATATACTACAGTCTTCCCCCGAATACAACGTACGGACGGTCATTATAGCTGAATTTAGACTGAAAGATACCCCAAATTCAGCTATAATGACCGTACGTTGTATTCGGGGGAAGACTCTAGAGGCTCATCAGAGATCTGGGCTTCTTCGTTAGTTAGGCAACCAAGTAGACATCAACGACTTACACAACTTCCCTTTGCAATTGAATACCCCTGAGTCATCATCATCATCATCATCATCATCATCATCATCATCATCATTTCAGGGACCACCACCTCCTCCTCGTCACTACAACCCATTCCCCGGCGGACGCAGACTCTGACAGTCACACAACTTCAGCCTATTGGCTACAACAAAAAAGAGGAATGCACCTGCACCTGACCTGCACAAGGTGGTATTTGAGAAAAGTGCATCCACAGAGCAGAGCATGTCTGTGGCTTCACTGTCTGCTACCTTGCGACTGGAGGAGATATGTGAATCCACAGAGAATCTGTAGCTTTACTGTCCTGTAGCAGACGAACTCTGCGAATGATGGCGGAAGCATCAAGCATCAATGGCAAAGATGGACAGAGGCGAAGTGGGATTGATCAGAGACCACTGGATTCTGTTCAACAATCCACGGGAGGGCACCACCAACCACAAGCAGTGTTGGGGATACGCCACAGATTGGTTTGTAAAGGCGTGGTGTGGTGCAGCAAATACTGTGCAGCACTGTGGAAATCAAGCAACGACGCTGAAGTCTTCAAAACAGACGTTTGGCCTGTTCATCACCAAATATCTATGCTTGACCTGAGTCTACTGATTTCCACTGATTGCAGAAAATGCAAGGCCAGATCAGGCCGAGGCACCTAACTGGTTTCGCAAAGCGTGGACTGTTGGACATCATTTAGCATCAGTATCCGAGGAAGGCAAGTTGCTCTTTGGCAGACTGGCTAAAACGCAACGAACCATAGGCCTCGGACTGAATAGCAGATAGAATAGCAGCAATAGTCTGTCTACTATTTTGAGTCGACAAGGTTAAGCCTTCGGGCTAGAGAGGCCCCTTCTCCTTTCACTGAGCTTCAAGATGAACTTTTGGGACACACTGGAGCCCGTTTCCAAAGATGCTTCGCTGTTAAAATTGTCAGTATTGGTCCGAGCGCTGCTCGTAAGCCAAACTGGGTAATGCTGCCAAGTATAACTCCGGGTCGAATTGTGAGGTCCCGGGCCTCTTTGCCATGATTTCGAAATAAACGTTAATGCCTCCCCCCCCCCCAAGAAAAAAAGGCGGAGGTCACTTGGAAGGTAGCTTCGGCAACATCGGCTCATGTGAACTGGTGGTTTAAACTTTAAAACACATGCGTGAACTGGTTAGGGGCACTCTCAGATATAGATTCAACCACAGCAGCGGGCCCAATAGCGGGAGGATCGTTTCCATGCCAAACGAGGGGACCCCAAAACAGAGGCGATACAGATCCCATCGAAATATAGCCGACACTGCACGACATGAGAGACTCCGGATCACGGACACACAATCATATCCTTGCTTATTGCTCTCTATAGAGAACATCACACACCCGCACGAACCCCCACACCCCCCCACAGACAGAGACAGACTGGAACCGTCATGTGGAGTTGTGCCAAGCGAACATCACACAAAAACCACACACAGAAAAGTACTACAAGAAAACAAATTATTTAGTACTCTCAGGGATAATAGGGACCCACTATACACACACACACACACACCCCAACACACCGGCCTTCACTGGACAACATTGCCGGAGGCAGAAAATAGGATACACTGATACAGCATTGACAAATACTCAGCAATGTTGTCCAGTGTAGGATGCACATTGTTCACGAACCCCCACATAGGTAATGAATGGACCAATGAAACGAACGCACAACACAATTCAACAAGTGGCAGAAAACAACGGACGGGAAGACTCAGAGAAGGCACAAGGCACGAGCAAACAAAATTTGAAAAAGGTAATCTCAATTGATAATATCCCCCACCGTCGACTACTCCACAAATCGAGTTGGCAGCCAGAATTGGGTAAAATCGTAAAAAATGGAAAGAGAAAAAAAAAAAAAAAAAAAAAAAAAAAAAAAAAAAAAAAAAAAAAAAAAAAAACCGGCTTTCGAACGGAAAAGAATGATGTACGACTTCAAATGGCTAGCTACTTCTCCACCTCTACACAGTTCCAGGGCCGCCAATCAGGCAGCTGAGACCATAGACGGCGGCCGTTCCGGTCTGCTCAAGGTGACCAACTCTTCCATACCCCCATTAACCTAATCTATTTGAACGAGGAAATTGCCTCCAGACCATCGTCCCTGTCTTCCGTTTCACAGTCCCACCGACAGACCCAGAAGAAACATGTGTTAGCTTCTCCCAAAGCCCACCGCCACCAATTTCTTTTACCAATCAAAAGACTCCCCGAATCAGCCGCCGGCGATTTCCACGTTGCCGAGCAGCGAAGGAACCATTCCTTCAGCGGTGATTCCCTCCCTAATCGGGGTGCCCGACCCCCACTCCTCAGGGCTCTCTCTCTCTCTCTCTCTCTCTGTGCGTCTGTGTGTGTGTATCTCTACTTCTACATCTCTCTACCATGCTCGAAAAACCGGATTACACCAAAAGAAATTGAAAAAAAAAACCCTAGAAATTAGCAATACAACAATGCGCCGATTTGTCCAACAGACAGACCGATGGCACCGACGCTTCGGGTCCTGGAACAAACCGACGGACAAGAACACCGACGCTTCGGGTCCTGGAACAAACCGACGGACAAAAACAATTTGAGTGTAGGAAAAAATACAACGAACCGAGAAGAAGGCTTCGAGCGACTTCCCCGTCTTCGAAAACACTGGTCGCACGCAGGTAAGTAAGAACGAAAAGAGCCTCCTCCTCCTTTTGAACGCCCTCCGAAATCGAAGTTATACGTGAACACTGGCAACACTCTGACACTAAAGATTTAGTCAAAAGACTCAAAACCCAAATAACTCAAATCCGGTGAGGTTAGCAAGCACAAGTCAAAAGTCAGTCGGTGCCATCCATCTTGAACAATTTCTGTTTGAACTCGTGTCGACGCCAATGAAGCGAGATGACACCAAGCGCGAAGAAAACCAACCACCGCCAGGTCTCCTTCCTCCGTCCTGGGCAAAATCAACCGACGTCCCCTTCCCGCGCATACGCTGCCTACACCACTCTCTCAATCCCGTCTGCAATCTTTCTCCGATATACTTCTTCGCTGTCTTATTTCTACACACGCTCGAGCAACGAACATCTGTAAACTGCACGCAGTACCCCCCCCCCCCCAAAGAACAACCTACATCTATCTCTCTTGCTTGCACACTCCGCCCGACTCCCACACCCGCGCAAAAGCAGCACACTCGACCACACAGCCACACAAATAAGAGAAGAAAAGACGAATTCCAATCGCCGCTAGACCTCCGATTTCTTGCATTCTCGTCGGCGCAAGATCATCCTCCCTCTCCCAACTCTCCTCGAAAGATGTGTCATCATCGATTTCCAAAAGAGCTTCCAGGGAAGAGTCAACGATGCGATTTGCATTATAGGCCAGCAGCAAAATAAGCCGATCCTTGAAAGATTCACGCTCGCGGGTCGGTCGTGGCCTGTACAAATATATAGACATGATGTTCGTCGGAGAGCAAGGACCATCGCTGGTCGCATAGTGATCCCCTGAGACGCCGCCACGGGCTCCGCCGCCACGTTCTTCGTCATAATTCACACACAAGTGGAAGGACTCTGTCTCTGTCCGAGGCGCAGCCTGACCTCAATCGGGGGGTTGCGGCATGCAATTGCATAATATACAGAGCAGAGATCCCTGTGCTGATGAGGTGGGTCTTCTCGTTGCGCTTTTCCGCACTCAGATTGAGTCACGACCCAGTGACCACCAAGTCCCCCTGCCTAGTTAAATGTCGTAGCCAAAATGGCGGCTACAATTTGTACCCGAAGAAGAATACTTCTCAAACAATTGAGGAGGAACGAACAAACCACGTGAGCCATAATGCTCAACGAATGAATAAAATCAACGAGGACGACGTGTTTCGCATGCACACGTCCGTTCGCTCGCTTTCTCACTGGCTCGCATTTACCCTCGAAAGACTCGAGGAGCGGCATAGTCAAACGCAGCAGCAATCAATCAATCAATCAATCAATCGATCAATCCCAACCAATTAATCAATCACAGGTGCGATAACTATATCCTACATCGTGAGACGTCGTAACCTGCGACGACGACCGGTCGGTGGGCCCTATCGACCGACCTACATACATTTTTACACAATCGTAACGGACGACGCTGCTTCAAGTCATTTCCGTTCGAAATACTAACACACTCACTCACTTCGGCTCTCCTCCCCGTCTCCTCCTCGCACTACTTCACAAAAGCTTCCGATGAAGGCTTGTGTCAGCACCTCTGCCTCCTCCCGAGGTACAACTCTCCTACTCGACTTACTTCCGAAAACCTTCAGATGAAGACTTCTTTCAGCACCTCCTCTGCCACCGGGAGATAGAACCCGACCCTTCAGATGAAAACCTGTTGCAGCAAGTTTCTCGTCCGCCCGTCGAGCGGTCACTCGACTTGTCCATACTCGATAGAGAGAGCTTAAAGCACGAGATTTCGTTACAAATAGACAAAAGAATTCGAACACAAGCACCTTAAGATTGCCCCCTGATCATAAATTCATTCGCCAAGAACATATCTGGCATCCTCTATCCATAACGCAGGACACAAGGATGAGAGCAATCAATCAATGATCCTCTTCACGCACCCCACAGAATAGGCGGGCGACCAGCAAGTTAACCACACACACACACACACACACAGAGGAGAGCTCATTCCATTCTGTAGAAGTGCTGGAACGAGCATACGACGCAATCAGCCAAAGCAACACTCTACACAACTATTCTATAAGACACACTACACAAACGCCCAGCACTCCGTAAACATCTATAGAACAGTCGTAGCTAGCCGATTGCCTTCTCTTCCTATACGCCCGCGAATAAAATGTACATACGCATACCACCCACTGAATCAACATCTCCTCTCACCTTCACCTCTCCGTCAGAACCCTCTGCCAAAGATCGTTAGACGCTTCACACAAACACGCTCGAGTTGCAAAATTTGAATTGCTACCCATTCCACCGAGGGAAGTAGGAAAAAGCTGCCGTAGATTCCCATAGCCATCCCCATCTCGGACGACTGTTCTTTAGCCGTCAACCGCTTCCATTCCATCACCTTACCTCTTCCGTCTCATCGCTTCCCTCAGGCATCGGTGGCATTTTCCGCTACTACAAGTCCCACCTCCGTCGGTCTCTTTCCTGTCTCCCAACCGCTTCAACATCTGCCTTCGTCACAAGACGACAGAAAAAACAATCGCGAACCACACGTCGACCCCTTCCATCCCCTCCGTTTCTTTTTGCCCTCTCTTCCACCCGTCCACACATTTACCTCTCCTCCTCACGACAACAAAACTTTCCGAACCATGAACCATACGTCGATCCTTTCTCAACCCCCCCCCCCGAAGTCCGACCTCCGTCTCGTTCCTCAACATTGGCCTGCCTTCGTCACAACAGAAAAGAATCACGAACCATACGTCGACCCTTTCTCAACTCCCAAGTCCCCCCTCCGTCTCGTTCCTGTCGTCCAAACCCTCCTCAACATTGTCCTGCCTTGGTCACAACAGAAACGAATCACGAACCATACGTCGACCACTTCTAAACCCCTCCTACGTCTCTTCCTTCGCTTCCAACCGTCGAGCCATTCAGCTTTCTCAACCATCCCCCTCCGTCTCCTCATTGCCTCTACCTTGTCTTCCATACGTCTCAAGATCTACCTTTCTTCGGCACAACAAGAAAACAGAACGAAAGATACGTCGACTCCCTTTCGACAAACCCCTCCACCCTCATTCGCGTCGACGTTCTTGTTTTATTTCCTTCCTCGGACCATGGACGCACGCCTTCTCTTTCCTCTTCCCCTCCCCCAAGCCACCGTCCCGGGTCCGTGCAGAACCAGCGAGCCCATACATAAAAACGAAAGTCTCGCTGAGCAGAATGTGTACTCACGCCCCAGAGATTCGCCTCTTCGCTTCTCGACCAGATGCATGCAGCCGTCCGTACAACAGCGCAGACCGTCCGTCCGTACGACAGCCGCACATGCACGCTCTCCTCCGAGGCCCTCCACATAAAACAGCTAACAAACAAAATTGAGCTCACATGCAGATCAATGATCGGACGAATGAATGGATCGCAGGCCGCCATGGTAATCCACACAGCTGCGAGCCAATCCCCACAGCTGGCTTTCCCCCTCTCTCTCCCGCTCTACATGACGTTTGCAAGATGGTCACCGTTTGCGAGCCTCGCCTCAGACGAGATTCCGCAACAGCGATACAGAGAAAGGACTTCCCGCCGATCGCATAACCGGCCAACATCAGTTCAGTGCCATCGCCATAGCTCTTCAACCATCGATTCGCTTCGTCCACCCATCATTCCCTTCGCTGCCTAATCTCGGGGTAACGGAAGATCAACAACAAGGTCCGCGTACGCGCGAAGAGGGACCTCCGCCGAAGTGAGAGCTCCACAAAGCTTCCTTGAATGAATGCCCAGATTCTTCCTTTCTCCCTCATGTCGGAGCAAATATGCGCGTACTTTGGTCTCCGTCGTTTACCCTGTGCAACAGAAGCTTCGACCGTTCGATGGCTGGTAGGGCCAGCTGTACGACGGATCGCATCAAATGACCTTCCTCCAAGATGGCATAGGGTAGGTACTCCCGTCGCGTCTCCGTTCACCATCTGAATGTTTTGCCTATCTCCACAGTAGATGGATAGACGGGTAAACAACATTTGACGGTACCATGTTCTCTTCGGCATCTGTATATTTATAGATGGCCATTCAGGTCGCAGATGCGTAGGTACTTACTAGTACCACGTTCTTTTCAGGACAAATCATGGTGATACCATGTTCTATTCGGGACAAAACATGGTCATCCCATGTTCTATTCGGGAAAGAACAAGGTACCATATTCTCTTCGGCATCTGTACTTACATGGCCATTCTCTTCGCAGATCCGTAGATACTTGCTAGTACCATGTCCTTCTCGGGACAAATCATGGATGGTAATACCATGTTCTGTTCAGGAAAAAATATGGCAATACATGTTCTATTCGGAACAAAACATGGTAATACCGTGTTCGATTCGATACAAAACGTGGTAATCTCATGTTCTGTTCGGGACAGAACATAGTAATACCATGTTCTCTTCGGTACAAAACAAGGTAATACCATGTTCTCTTCGGGACAAAACATGGTACCACGGTACAGCCGTCCCTCCAGGTTCCACCAGAAGGAGACGCTCAACCATGGATGACGACCACATTTTCAAACTCGGGCAGAGGAGCGAGGCCCAATATCTCAAAACCCATCTCTCCGATCTTGACCATCCGCAGCAGGCCTCGCCAGTAGAAGCTTTAACTCTTGAAGGCCGAACGTGGATGTCCCAACGAACAACCGCGCGACGACGAGTCCCTGAAGATTCTGGAAAAATAATGCAACAATAACACCACTCCATTGCGCTCACTCTTTCGTTGCCTCCACCACTGTCCCTTCCCTCCCCGTTCCCCCCCCTCCCCTCCCCTCCCCCCCTCCCCCCCCCCCCGAAAAATCGTCCAAACGAGCAGCTAGAAAAAATGTACTCGTCATCGAAATCAACGGCTGCCATTACCCAGCGATCCCAACCGCCGCCACTCTAGTTGACCAACCGGTCAAACGAACTGAGTGATTTCGTCTGTGTGTTACTTTTACAAAGACGAAGCACAATAACGCGCCACCGAAAAGATGGTTGAGGTACAGGAGAGAACCCTCCACCCTCTCGCACCCATCCCCCCCCGCCCCTCCCCCCCGCCCTCTCTGCAGATTAGCCGCAGCATACCGAACTGTCCCCCTCCCCCCGTCTGCTCTCTGTATAGAGAAGGCAGAAAAAAAAACTCTGCTTGTAGAAAACGTCATTGAAGTCTTCTCATTTCTCCAAATACGACACTAGCACCGTGATATCGTCCATCTTCCCTCCTTCGAATCGGAAACCAGCAAACATAGCTGCGACAGCGAACGGGGAAACGCCATCCGTGCGGCTTGCCCGCTGTTGCGCGAGACGAGAAATGTGATCCGCTGCAGCCTGTAAAGAAGGGCAATCGCGGCAATAAGGAAAAAAGACGACATCTGACGTCAATTTTTTTTTAAAATAAACCCTCTCCGCCCAAACCTAACTTCGACTCTGAAAACAAAAAAATATACTAAGTAAATAAATAATAAATAAATAAAAATGAAACTCGACCTTGCCTTGTGTCCTCACGAAAACGAACAGAATCAGATTTTTTTAGTCAACAGGGACGAGGTCGCACTAGCAAAGAGGATTGGATTGAACGCCTTAATTTGGCCGCGTTTGTGGACAAGTGCAGAAAACCGAGATTAAACTCCTTTTCTGCCCCTCTGCCTAAAACACGCCCCAATTCAGGATACTAATCCTATGCCCGTTGCTGGTGCGACCACACTCCAAAGGCACTCCGCTCTACTCGCATCTTTCAGGGGAATTTTCGCACATATTTGCGAATCATCCCTCACTAAAATATACGACCGAGCATTGAATACAGGGCCTCGTTCATTATTATTGACATGAAATCCTCTTTTCCCAAAAAAAAGGGAACTCGCTCCACAAGTCAAGTCACCATGCATAAGAGAACAAAAACAGAGCAGCGCATCTTCCCATGTTCTAGCGGGTAATTCATTCTCATTTCGCACATCATGACAGTACTGGTGCAAGGCCCAAAGACAGCCACATGTAAGAAAGACGAGAGAGCACAGCCGGAAGGCGGGAGGAAAGGTGGTAAGGGAGGAAAGGTGGTAAGGGGGTACGAAAACATCCAAGAGGTGAGAGATGGATAGAAGAGCCGACAAGTGGAATAGCGCACCAGGGAGAACGACAGACAGGAAGACAAAAGTGAGATTTGAGCCCAAGGGATTCATCATCTTTACAACCGACAGGCAACCGAACTCAGCTCCTCGTTCCACTAGACAACACTGCATGCATTTACACGTTTTCTAGACCGGATGCGTTGCACGTTTTATAGACCGGATGCATTCGAAGTGTTCAACTGCATTAGAAGTGTTCAACTCAAACCAATGCACCTGGTCCAGAAAACGTCCAGATGCATGTCCAGTGTTGTGTGGTGGAGCGAGGGCCTCTACCTCCGCCTCTAGGGGACTCGCCTTAATACTCTGGAATCGACAAACACGATTTTCCGACCAGTGAAAAAACAACCAAGTGAAAAAGAAAAACAGGGCATGAGCTCAAGTGTTATTTTTTGGAGAAGTTTTCAGTGGAGGGACAAGTGTGGGGACGCTGGACCCGGTTTCCAGTATTCAGCCGATTCTGGGTCAGCCTTCCGGGTAGAATTGTGAGGTCCCCGGCTTCAACTTGTTCTTTGAAAAAACACTAGTACCTTTGCCGCTTGGAAAATAGCGGGCCTCGGGTAGGCATCCGACCTTTTCGGAGGCCGAAACGAAATGACGGCAGCCGATCAGATTTGTCGTCGTCGGGCCCGACCTCCGAAAATTCAGGCGATTGGGCCCACGCGAGAAAGGTTCTAGTGGTTCACTTTCTCCAAAAAACAAAAAAACAAAAACTACTGAAAATCAATAGTCCCTCAAGGGTTCGGCCAAGGACTCTTGGAAACGCACGAGTGGCAGGCTGGGCTTGTTCGGCCAAGGACTCTTGGAAACGCACGAGTGGCAGGCTGGGCTTTCCAATCTTTAAAGAGCTGCTCTTGAAAGGGTTTCAAGAGCCACTCTGACTGCTCTTGACTGTCCCACGTTTCAAGAGGCTGTGTGGCGAGGAGGCGACTCTTGAAAATTGAGTTTTCAAGACTGGTGTGGCGAGGCCCTAAGGGCATACTCACACCGCGACCCCAAATCTGCAAGTAAGATTTGAGGTTTTGGGCATGCTTCGGGTCGGACTGCTGTACCTTTTCGGATGGGACAAGGTCGCGGCAGTCTAGAGAAATGGCGATTTGGTACTTGGGCTGGTCACACGGGGCCATCCGCAAACTGTGCAAGGACTTTTGTGAACGATTTCTCGCCAATTTTCCAAGAAAATGCGAAAAAAATACGTAGGGAATTGCCGTCACCTCCAGCCCCGCGGCTTCCCAGGCCGTTTTTTGAAGGGTCGAAGTGTAATTCCCAGGACTCCCCGCCAGGGGTAAAAAAAAAAAAAAAAAAAAAAAAAACAAGAAAGAAACAAAAGACTCGATTGGATAGACACATTGCGCTTGCTCTCACAAACTACAAACGCGATAACGAATGAAAAAAAAAAGCACCTTGCTAAATGATCCTGGTCCAGAAAAGAAAAGGAAAGAGAAAAAAAAAAAAGGCTTACCTGAGGAGATTCTCCCGCCTTCTTCGATTCCGACGCAATCTGGCCGATCTCCTCGTGGAAGAGATTATCGAAGAGTCCGTCGGAGCCCATGACAAGAATGTCTCCTTCCTTCACATCAATTTCGTATCTCTGCAGACACCCAAACACATTTCGAGATTATGAGTCCCTCGTCTGACTCCACGGAGACGTCCACATTACAGCAAGCAGCAAGTTCTCTTTATTATTAAGACTTGGCAAATATTTTCCCGCCCTTCCACTCAAACAAAGCACCTTTTCCCGCCATTCTCTTTATTAAGACTTGGCAAAATCTTTGCTCGCCTGCTTAAGATTTGCATCTGAGTGCTTTCCCGCCACATTCCATTCAGTACGAACCGGTTTCCTTTTCGTCGATCCAGTTTGCTCCCGCTAAAATCTTCGCCTCCGAACCGTTAAGAACGCCGGCAAAAAACACACAAGAGAGACAGACCGTTCCAATTTGCTCTCTTGCATAGATTCAAACGAAAGGAGAAACAAACAGAAAATAATTTCTCTCCTGCATTTCTCTCCTGATTCCACAAATGGTGAATTATTACAATCTTCTCTCCTTTCCTCTTCTGAATGTGCGGTTTGTATTCGACTAAAAAAGGAAAGAATGCTTCCTTACAAAATTTCACAAAACAACGGAAAATAATTTCTCAACTTTTCCCTTTTGTGGTGCCATACCTCTGACCAACTTTTGCCTTTTCCATCACATCCAAAGATACTTCAGAATCAAGCATATCCCTCCCCCTCAAAAGCTCAAAAGTTTAAAGCTAGCGCAAAGTCCAAAGCTAATCACGCATATCCCTCCGCTCAAAAACTCAAAACGTTTTCACGTGGAAAATGGTCGCAGTCCACCCTTTCCGGGTTGTTTGTGAGGATTCTTTGAAATGAAACATTGATTCTTCCAAAAAAAAAAAAAAAAAAAAAGGCTCACAAAGTTTTCACGTGAAAAATGGTCCCAGTCCGCCATTTCCGGGTTGTTTGTAAGGATTCCCGGCCTCCTGTTTATGATATTTTAATGAAACATGACTCTTTCAAAAAAAAAAAAAAAAAAAAGGGTCAAAGTTTAAAGCTAAGAGCTTACCTCAGCTTCGGCAGGATCATCGCCTCGAGTGCCAATCTGATAGGGAAAGTTGAATGCATGCTGCATGTGAATGGATGCCTTGACGACACGGCCGTTGGAAATGACTAGAAAACCGCAGTCCCCAATATTCGCAAACTTCAGGATGTTTCCATCGAGGGAAGCCAAGAGTGCTGTAGATGATCCCACAGCATGCGTCCTTCGGTGGGCATGAATCAACACTTCCGACGGCTCGATCGACGTAGACGCTCTGACTGCTTGAAGACTGTTGGTCATGAGCTCCCTAGAGTACAGTCCAGCGTCGATACCTGAAACGTCAACAACCACAACGACGTCGCACTGTTAGATCACCCAGACCTAATAACAGAACGGAAGAAGCGCATTTCCAAGTCCTTTTCGATCGATGTCGTTTCCGAAGAGGCCAAACAAAACAATCGATCCTTGTCCTTTTCGAAGCGGGCAAACAAACCAATCATTTGGAAGCGCCGCAAAAAAAGACACAGCGGACAAACAAAACCGAACGGAAGACAGGGGGGGGAAAAGAAACATGGAGAAAGAGATAGATAGAATACAAGCAAAACAAGCCGAGAGTCAAACTGTCGTCACTTCTGCCGAATTCCCTTCAAAGGGAACTCCAACCAGAAAGGTGCGCCCGGAAGCATAGGAAGTGATTGAAAAGCCCACGAACATAGATATTCCATTCCGCATTTGTTTTCCTTCCACACAAACACAACAAAAAACCAGAATATTTATATGTTTGGGATACTCGACACTAGAGTTCCAGTAGATACCTCTACTAAAACGCCTATTCGACACTAGAAATACGCGTTCGAGTCGATAACTCTACATTAGAAATAGGCGTTCGAGTAGATACCTCTACACTGGAAATAGGCGTTCGAGTAGATACATCTACTAAAACGCCTCTTATTTGGGACTGTTTGGAATACTTCAAACACGACATCGACATCCAGACCTTCTTTCATGTCCAACGAGGCTAAGACGAGCAGCCCTCGCGAGGTCGATAAAACAAGGCTCTTCGCAAGCAAGACTTCCTCCTCCCTCTGGCAACGAGGGCTCTCTGCCAGTCGAGAGGAGCGAGAGGAAGAACCGCAGAGAGGGTACCGAAATAGACAAGAACAAGGGTGAACGTCGAAGTGAGGGTATCACAATCACAACAGCTGTACAGAAAGAAGAGAAGAAAACTTTACTCACCCATTTGCGCCCAGCCACCAACTCCATCAGCTACTCCGAGCCAACGTCCGTCGTCAGAGATGAAGTAGGCATCCTCTCCTCCTCTCTTGACCTGATTGATTCATGAACAACGGCACGTGCGTCAGCGCATACCGTCTTTTTTTTTTTTTCCGTCCATATATGCAAAGTTCTAACGTAAGAAGCTCGAAACGAACAATAAGAGAGTTAAGGTGAGATGGTTGTCGGAGATACGAAATAATAAATTATAAAAAAACAAAGTATTAAAAAAAAAAAACACGATACATTTCCGAAGACCACGCATCTGCCCGTTAGCACTACGGTGGAAAGAAATTTCAAAACTTTTCGCACTGATGCAGAGGAAATTACCGACGCTTAGCCCCCTCACCTTCGATGGATGGGGTATCATTGACGCTCCGGATTTTAGTCTTAATCCTTTCGATTCGCGGAATATAGCCTCTCCGTCATCATCTCCTATCATCAGAGATCTGATAACAAGATCACACACGAAAACATTCAACCAATGAACGAAAGCCGGTCAGCACCATTTCCCTACCGACAAGGTGAAAATTTCAAAAGCAACGAGGGTGGAAAGAACCAAAACCGATAATACATACATAAGACACTGCCTTAGAGACTACAGAAGAGACTTCAAGACTGCTTTTCTGCAGCGGTTTTTTCTTTCGCCCCACAGCGGAGCGAAACGTGAGAACAGAGAGCACGAACCACACACCTAGACCTCTGAAGAGGAGAAATCAAACACTGAAAGGACGTACTTTGATCCGACGGAATGAAAAGCGACTTTGAGAAATGCACCTTAGAGACGGAAAGAGAGGAACAAGAAGCTCATACAGCTAGAATATAGACAGATCAACCGCCATGATTTGTCTTTTGTGCATGTCGAGAGTAGTGCAGCGAGGCCCAACGTGACACATACGAGGGAATCAGTTTAACACCTACTCGGAGAGAACCGCACTCCCACCAATCAAACACGTGCACAACCGTTGACAAACGCACGAGACAGACAATAAATAGACGACAGTACGTACACTGCACGGCATGAGGAAGTAACGAAGGGCGTCGACGTACGGCACAAGGCAGTCACCGTACGGAACAGACGAAACGAAAATACTAAACGCATCTGCCCACAGAGAGCGAACATGTTCAACCGCTTGCTATAAATAGTGACGAATGTACTTCGTCATTTTTCGGGGGCAGGTTTCGTGTGCCGTGTCGATAGGCCCAAGGTCAGACTTAAAAACCAGGAAGAAAGACGAGCACAAAACAACACGAAAAATAAGAAGGATATAACCAGGAAGACATATATCAGGAATAACAAATTTGAAAAAACAAAAAAAAAACACGCACATGGAAAATGAGAAATAACGACAGAGAGGAAACGTACCCAGTAAAAAAAAAAAGAAACGTACCCAGTGTCTGGAGAAGACTCCTCGGAAACGACCTCAATCTCGGCAATGGACGATCCATCACTTTGGGAGTCTGCCGCGCAGCCATTCACCGAAGACGACTCGTCAGAGGCTACGCTCGGCTCGTCGCTGGTCAATGGAGCAGCTTTATCGCTTTCAGACGAGTCTGTCGACGCGGCGTCGGGTGTTTGAGGTCCATCAGTGCAGGTGTCTGTCACTGCTTCGTCGACTTGTTCGACGCAACGCAGCGCAGAAGACACTTCTTCCGTCGTCTGCTTCTCTGTCATTGCAACATCATCTCCATTTCCGTCTTCCGCAACAACTGGACATGCTGCGGCGTTGCTACGGTCACAGTCTTTCCCTTCACAAACAGCCGACGTTTCCTGCCTAGCATCACCAGATTGAGCCGAGGCTTCCTCAACCTCCGTCTTCTTCTGCTGCTGTTGTTGTAGGTGGTGGTGGTGGTGGTGCTGCTGCTGCTGCTGCTTCGAACACTCGTCCTCTTCCTCATCGTTTTCCAACGAGATGATATCTACCGCATCCCCCTGCTCATCGAACGGCTCGCCCACCTTGCTCAGGTGTGTGTCAACACGAGGGTCCACACGTAGAGGCTTCGTACACTTGTCGTTATCGAAGGACGAATGAAGATTAGAGTCATTGCAAATATTGTAGCGGTTTGATAGGGATAACTTGTAACGTAGGCGTCCACCTTCTCTCTCCGATGCTGTCGATTGAATTCCGCATCATCCCAATCACAACAACCACAAACAGAAGGAGAACAAAAAAAATGACGTCAGCTGAACCACTCTTCATACCAAAGATTCAGCACCACACACAGGAAAGCACATAAAAAAAAGCACATAAAAAAAAAAAAAAAAAAAAAAACAGTCAACACTCACAGACCGCCAACTAAGAAACCCAGGTAAGAAACTTAGAGAAAAGGGAGAACACATAAAGCACCCCCCCTGCCTCCCTCGGACGCTAAATGTGCTCATGGATAGACAGATACGAAGTTGAAAGCGAGCTATCTCGATGAATCAACACCACATGCAGTAAATAAATAGGAAGAAGTGAACTGACTCAGGACCCAACCCGAGCGATGTAGGCAGGGGAAGTGGCGAGGAAATTGCGTTCAAGCGAGGAAAGTCCTCTACGCAATGAAAAGTTGCGAGAGGTTTGCTCGACATTTTCCTTACCTCTCATTCCCTGTTCCTAGCGTCAGAAGGAGGGCGCAAGGTGTCACTTGCCACCCATTTCCTATCAACAGACAGTCATGGAGACTCATCAAGGGTTGAAAAAAGGGAGGAGCCTAACCGTGAGAAAGCGGGCATAAGGTGTGCTTAACGCGATGGCTTTCACGTCACTCGTCAGATTGCCACGCTAAGGTGCTAAAACAGCAAACAGGGGATTATCACGTACCGATGAGAGAACAACAGGAACACAAAAAGAAGGCCATAACAAAACGAAAAGAGACTTCAGAACGCCATACGTTGTGTCCTGCCAGCACAGCAAAAAGACCATAGCACCAACTGGCCTAACTCAGTTGGCACAACCATGAACCATTTGAAACACAGAACCCCCCCACCCCCCCCAGTTCGCATCCACCTGCAACCAGATGTAAGTACTGTATTTACCAGGCAGGGGCAGGTCAGATCGAAGAGGACATAGCATTAAGGTCGTGTCAAAAGAAAAGAAAAGATCATCGCAGAAGGAGAAAAAAAATGATTAAAAATAAAGACTTCGAAACGACATGGCATGGCTCCTCTCGGCCTTTTCTTCAGATCTTCCGCCGAGACGCTTTCAAAGCAGATATGGCCCTCGTCACAGCACTGTCGAAACTCAGAGAGAACAAATGCATCTTCCCCAGAAAGTGGTAAGATTTATCCATTGCCAATCATAGCAACGGACGCATCCTGCCATTCTCTGCGGGAAGATGCGCTCGTACTTTTTCCGTTTCGACAGTGGTGTGGTGAGGCCCATGTTCGCGGATGTGCCCAAGACTCTGCGACCGGTCATTGCAACGCACTGCAAGGACAACATCTTTTCCAGTCCACATGAGCCATCACTGCCAACAAAGCATTGGTCCCAGGTCGCCGCACGCACTTGTCCCGCGTGTGGGAAAAGGGCACCATCGCGACAAAAGGAGGGGACCACACAAAGCACTGGTGCCAGGTCGCCGCACGCAATTGTCCCGCGTGGAAAAAGAACACCATCGCTACAAAAGGAGGGACCACACCAGCATCTCTCACACTTCTTCCCTTAACAGATTCCAACTACGCGCGCGCATATATAGCTTCTGTATAAGCGCGCCCGCCCGCCCGTGAGCAAGCATACGGGACGGTTCACACAGCAAGTGGCAATCAAACATCCTCCTGCTCGTCTCTTCTACATTGGGTACCACCTTCAGATATCATAAGCACATCGGTAGATCATTCCAGGAGGGGCGACAGTACCACCAACATCTACACATGCATGTTCTATCCGGCAAACGCGCCACCGATTCGTCGCCAAGTAGACAAAAACGCACACCCCCTACAGAGCCACCCATCTTACAGAGAGAGCCAGCCATCTTTCCGCAGGTGGACGACACACTTCCCTATGTTGAGGAACCACACACAGTTGTAATCGGGGCATTTGAGCTCAAACTTCCGGTAAACGCTGCCCACGCCAGGGGGTCTACAACAAAAAGCGGCGAACGAGCAGAGTAGCAAACGACTAAAAATCCCAGATCAGGCTGCATGCAGAAACACATGGTACTGCAGCCACACGGAAAAATAGGACCTAATAGAGGGCACGCACGTGCATGCAGGAGAGAAGCTATAAGTGTCAAAAGATATGTAAGAGGAGAGAAGCTGTAAGTGTCAAATATATGTGAGAACAACACCTGGAAGGACAGCGAAAGCTATACCAACCAAGACAACACATGTCGTCCAATTGGCAAGAACGGGACCACCATGAACGGCCGGACACATAGCTCCCCAAGAAGTGAACGTTTCCGTCAATGGTTGTGACCCCCGAGGTATAGTATAGTACTAGGTTACAATAGTCCCGAACGAGATGCCTATAGTTTTAGCCAGCCACCGCCGACGGCATGGGATCAGGCCACTCACTATAGACGCCTGAAGAGCCGCTGCAGCTACTCATCGAGTAGCTCCAACGGAATTACAGCTCTCAATCCGCAGAGAAGGAAGAGGAGAGTGAGTCGTCGCCAACATATGCCAGCTGCCTCCCTTACCCAAGCAGGAGCTAGCTCTCCCCGCCTTCATACTGCGAAAACGCTAGCCGTCTCTAATCGACCGTCGACAGCCACAAAAAAAAAACGCACCAGGAACGAGAGCTTCCCCGCGTTTAAAAGGCCCAACCAGAGCTAGCTGGGGAAAAAACGGAATCGCCCGTGATCAACGAGACAAAAACTCTCCTCTTACCAGCAAAGCAAAACACACCGTAATCGCCCAGAGAAAGAGGAAGAGGTAGAGGTTTCTGCTGCCATAAGCAAATCGGGAGCTAGGGCGCTGCACAAGCCAAAGATCTCGTACATTTCGATAGCCGATATTTACCCATACCTATGCCCATAGCTGATTCGAGCCTACAGCCCTGTATGCCACCACCACCATTGGAAGGTCCCGAGGCACACTCGCATACGTCCCATACAGTACTGGAGCTCTTAGTCCACCGCCATCGAATGCAGGTCTGCTGCGCAGAGAGCCCACGTGCGCCGAGGAGGCGACAGCTTAGACAGAAACTTTCACAGATACGCTTGAGCAAGCACGCGAATGGTACATTCCTCGGCCACGTGAACCACAGACGTGTGGAACTGACCAGGGCCTCTGCAGATGGGGAGAATGTCGTACCAAGCAACAAGGAGATTCATGAGAGACTGATTGCAAACAACACATCACAACGCACTCCGTCAAGGGCAACGCCATGCCAAGCGATGAAGTACTCCCTAAGTCATGAAAACCGCTACGGCGGTCGCACAGGGCTGCTAGGGGGGGAGGGGAAGGTGATCATGTTCATGTTCCCATCAAGCGGAAAATCAAGCAATAACGAAGGCAAGCCATTTCTCTACAACATAAACGATCAAGACAGGCAAAAGCAAACAAAGCAATCTTACCTGCTTTCCAAAATCTGCCACAAAAGAGGTAGTAGAAGTGAAGATGAGAACGAAGCAAGAGGGTGATATGCAGTGAAATGGAGGCAAATCGGGAAAAAACGGAAATTCTGCCGGTCCCAAAATACGCAAAAGATAGTAGAGGTGAAGATGAGAACGAGACAAGAGGGTGATATGCAGGGAAATGAAAGAGGCAAATCGGGAAAAAAAGGAAATTCTGCAGGTCGCAAAATACACAAAGGAGATAGTAGAGGTGAAGATGAGCATGAGACAAGAGGGTGATATGCAGGGAAATGAAAAGAGGCAAATCGGAAAAAAACGGAAAGCAAGGAACATGACGAAGAGAGTAAAAGGCAGAATGGTCGTCGAAGGAGATCAAACCGGTAACTGGAAGGTAAGAAAGTGAGAATACCCTCTTCATCCGAATAGAACACCCGGATACCATCAGCAGAGGAAGCATGGAAATTTATCATCACTCGAATAGAACGCCCGGTTGTTACCAGGGGCAACTTGCAGTCTAGATGCAGGAACAAAGACCGGACGTTATATTCGGGTATTGACAGCGGCAAGGAAAGGACGCGAGTACGGAAGCACAGGTAAAACAGTGGGAAGAAGATAGACGAAGACGGAAAAGAAGACCAGGCTGCGAGTTAAGAAGCAAAAGACAAGTAAGACAAGACAAGAAGAAGAAGAAGACTAGGACACGAGTCAAAAGAAATAGAAAGAAGACGAACAAGTTGAGGACAACAGAAGTAGAGTACGGGCGTGTAAGAAGTTGAGATGAAGAAGCCGAAGAATACAAGTGATTGTAGCATGGATGATGAATACGTAAGGCGAAGAAAAAGGATGTCCAAAGGAGCAAAAGGGTTTTCGAAGACCAACGCGAGGGTAAGAGTGGCACTGTTTCGTTTTCCCCATCCATCATACACCAGAGATTAACATCCCAAAAGGGTAGAGTCACGTACCGGTTGTGAAATAGCACCCCAGGAGTTCCATTATGGCGATAGGCTTGTCGGCGCGGAAGATCTCGAGAAGAAACTCGATGAAAACCCGCAAAGCCGAGTAACTGAAGCTCAGAAGCAGAAGAGTGACTAGGTGGCACGCCCAGAACGCGGGAAAAAGAAAACACGGCGCCAGAAACGCAATTACCAATGGAAGAACAAACACACTCGACAGAAAACAGCTCAGCACACGCCGCATCTGTTGCTCAAAACCACTCGCCCCTCCTCTCTCTCCCAACTTCTCCACAACCTCCTGCACCCTCGTTCTCCCCCACCTTCTTCAGGCCCCTTGAACGCTACCCGCACATAGCATTTGTTCTTCTATCATGTTGACGCCGATGGTACCGATACCGACCAATCATGGGTACCGATACCGACCAATCGCGAGGCCGCTTCAAGTTAACGAATACACGGCGTCCGGGAACTGATCATCCTCAGTGTCATGAATTCACTGATTCGTAGATTGGTGAATTTAATTGATCGCTTGATTAATTAGATGGTTGATTAGATCGAATCCTCGCAGGGATGAAGGAGCGTAAATTCTTCCCGAAAACGAAAGGGAAGAGATCAGCAGAAGTGGAAGTCAAACAGAAACACGCGTTTTCACTCGTTCCTAATCCCTCCCTTCAGCAGAAAAGAGGGAGGGCAGAAATGATATCCGAGGTGACAGAGTCGACTAGTAAATCGATATGATGTGGGGATTGGAATCAGACGTCCATCGCCGCAAAACAGAAACACAAGACGTCGATGATTGTTCCGTTGCCATACAGTGAAAACGTATCCCACGATGGCACGTGGCGCCGAGACAGAGACTTTAAGTCTTTTGCACCGACCGCCCACCCGCCCGGCCGCCCGTCTTCCAACCCTTCCGTGATAAGACAACGAGAACGAGGAAGAAGTTGGCTATGGCGGCGGCGCTGATGGTTCCAACTACCTGGATGTGCTCGCTGGTCGAGGGCACGAGCACGTACTACGAGGAGGAGGATGACAGCATTCCGTCAAACATGCGGGCCACTCAAACAAGAACGGAGAGCGATCGATTGCCGTGTACGTTGCAATGCAAGCTTTCACAACGGCGCCGGCGCCGTCGCTGGCATTCCGAGAATACCGTTTCGTTTGGAAGAATGGCTACAGAACACGTAGGGAAACCCCTCATTATAAACCGCAAATCACCCTTGTCCGGTCCGCGGTATTTCTGCTTGGTAATACTGCGCACGACCCTCCGGCTCCTGCTCCCGCCTCCCGCCTCCCGCCGCCAGGACTACCCTAAGGTCCTACCCTACCCTACACCGCCACTCTACCCAACCGGGGCAAGGTCCCACTTGCACGGATTAGGAGATTTCGGCCGTTGATCTCGGATATCTACGGTCTCTAGCTCTTGATTCGTGCAAGTGGGGACCTACAGTAGCTCCGGGTAGCCTACCATTCCGCTACTGCCCCCGGTAGTTGCTACAGTGCCGCGTCCCACCTTGCCATGCCGCGCGCCGCGCCTTGTGTGCCGCGCTTTTTTTGCCATTTTTCTTTTCTTTGGCGCTCACGAAAGCGGCGGCGCAACGTGCTTGCTGCGATGGTTCGTACCGATGGTTATCAATATCCGCCTATCTCGGCCTATCGGACGGTATGTCGTCTTCATTCGATGCCACTAGGTGACAACCACTGTACGATTTATTTTCTGGCCTGATTCCGAATATTGACGATAGGCCGATAGCCCGAGAAAGAAAAAACAAAAAAATATATATATATTGACGATAGACAACAAACATTGGCTTGAGAATCAATCAACGAGTCCTGTTGCGAACACCCGTTAGAATCTTGGAACGGTACAGTAGGCGATTATCAAAAGGCGTTGAGCCGCTCTCAACGCAAGGTTGACCCTCGCTACTCATCACCAACACCAAATGTGCAAAATGAGAACGATACACCGCCATAATTTTCGTCTTTTGCGCATGTGCTGAGTACTGAAGCGAGGCCCATAAGGGTGAAAAGAGAGGAAGGAAAGGCCTGCCGCTTCCTCCGTACGGCCGGCCCTCGGGGGCAAGGTCCCACTTGCACGGATTAAGACATTCTGGCCGTTGATCATCGCTATCTACGGTCAATATCGCTTACTTCGTGTAAGGACGGGATTGACGTCTCAACGGTGGTTTTCGTTTTCCTTTTTCTGTTTTAAAAAAACAATCAGAGGAAATTGAAGGGGGACAAGGAAATCCCGAAAAAAAAAAAAAAAAAAAAAAAGGGGGACAAGGAAGGTTTGGACTGTCGGGTCTCGAACTCGGCCATATCGAGCTGTGTAACCATGTGATCATTCATTCGCCAAACTGTGATCTACTAAGGCTCCAGGCGGTTTTTGTCGTGACGTGCCTCGGCGAGTGGCAAAAGACAGATTATGGCAGTGAATCCTTCCATATTTTAGCGGAATATTCAGTCTCTTTTTGCACATTCATCAGTGACTGCTGCGGCGAGGGCTTACCGCTTGCCTCTGTGCACGGGAGAGGATTTGCCTGACCGTTGCGGAAGACACCCCGCCCGCGACAAAGAAAACGCCGATACGCTGCAATCGTCGTTGGGTGAGCCACCCCGCTTGAAAGAGAGGAAGCGCATTTTGAAAAACGCAAAAAAAAAAAAGAAAAGAGCCAGATACGATAGGATCGCCTCTTCGGATTCCGTCCCATGGGCCGTGGTCCCACTAGCAAAGAGGATAGGATCGAATGCCCGAATCTGGACCTAATTGTGGAGAGGTGCAGGAAACCGCGATTGAACTGCTTTTCTGCACCTCTCCATGAAACACATCCAGATTCAGGTGCATGATCCTATCCTCTTGGCTAGTGGGACCTCGGCCCTGGTTACAACGGGGCTAGGCGAAGGGCCAGAAACGAAGTTCCCTCCGAACTCTGGACATTGTCAAGGGGCCAGACGGTGTGGCTGAAAAAAAAAAAAAAAAAAAAAAAAAAAAAAAAAAAAGAAAAAGGTGCAGGCACGAATTGTTGATAACCGGACTTCAGTTCAAACCGGACTAGATCATTCGTATGCAGAAGCGGAAAACACCTCTGAAGCACCTGGGGCGGGTAAGTTCGATGATCATGGGCCTCGCTGCACTACTCTCGAAATGTGCAAAACGAGAGCGAATCTACCGCTAGAATATGGAAAGATGCACGGCCATTATTTTGTCTTTTGTGTATGTCGAGAGTAGTGCAGCGAGCCCCCATACCTTGTCGCCGTTCGGAGAAAGAAACTGTCAAGGAACGGTGGCCTCGGACTGCCATCAGGTGCTGATCACTATGAACTATGAACGGATGGCTCCTCAATCACAGAACGCAAACCTACAATCCTGAGGCCATACTCAAAATAGGACTGTCCCAGATGTATCTGACTGCTTGTACTGCCAGTCTGGACATATCTGGCCGCAATCGCCAGAGATCAGATGAAAGAGTCCTACCGGTAGTGTGTGTCATCCTTGCGCTGGGGCAATGCTCATCTTCTTTGTATCCTTCATACCACGTTGTGAGAGTACGCCCTGAGGCTTTTCTTTTCTCTTTTTGGGGGGCTAGGTGGGGCGGGCAGGAGAGAGATTCAAGTATACACACACAATGAGGGCCTGCCCACACCACTCTCAAACCACTTTTTGGGGGGGAGGTAGGCCGCAGCCACACAGCCTCCCAATGATAGAAAGTTTCACGAGTTGTCAGGGAAGCGTTTCGAGAGGACATTTTTCAAACCGTGAGATCCCCAGCATGCAACTGTTGCAACATCAAGAATTTCAAGAGTCCTCCGCCTCCCTCTCAGTGGCAACCTCAAATTTCCAGAGCGCCCCTGACATTGGGACAGAAACACTTATCCCCTCCTCAGGCCCACTTGTCTTTCGCAGAGCAGTGTCGAGGAGTTGCCGCACTCGACAGTGTGGGGAGGTGGAGGGGCAGAAACTCTCTAAAGTAGAGCTATTGAAAACGTCTGACAGCCAAAAAGGCGGCAGGGGGGGGACCTGCAATGTGTGGTGGCCCTGACGTGCACTCCCACTCACAGCACTGTAACACGCTCACAGCACTACATCGTGTCACGACTACGGTTTCGTGGGCGGAGCTCGTCCTCAGGCACGTGGATGCACGGGAAAGATGATTTCTTCCAGCAGGTCGGGCGTTATGAGGATGCCCTATGCACATGAGGGCTGGGTTTGTGCCCAGGGGCTGCGAAGACGTGGTGCGAAGGAGCAGTAGATAACTATATTTTCAAAGCTTTGCTATTCAGGGGAGCTGGAATCAAGAACGGATGAACTGAAGTGTGCCAGCTGGCCACCTGCCCATTAAGCCCGAGAACTACGGAGCATGGATTTAGTGCACATCCTATGGAACTCAAGCGTACTACAAGGGCAGTGTACTCAAGGCAATGATGTGCTTCATGACATGGAGCCAGTGCCATCCATATGAAGAGCGTGTGGAATTTCAACATCAAATGGATTCGAGGCTCGGAAGATACTTATCCGTCCGCTATCTCACTTGCCAGGATAGACATATGGCATGTGTGTGTGTGTGTGTGTGTGTGTGTGTGTGTGTGTGTAGCATGTGTGTGTGTGTAGCATGTGTGTGTCACATGAGTTTCATACGAGCACGACACGTCATACCCGTACTACTCCGACTGACTACATCGGCACACTGTGAGCAGGATATAAAAAGTGCTGGAGGCGATTTTCCACAGCAGCAGGGCAAGACCATTCGCGTGTCCACTTGTGGTGAGTGTAAAGACGAGGCCGTTTTTTAGGTCGAAGTTTTGCCGATTAAGCGAAGGTGGTGAAAAGAAGTGAGGGGGGTGAGGGTGTCTCTTCAATCCACGGAGGCATCACAAAGAAGCAAGCCTTTCCAAACCTTTTGCATTTCTCAAAAGCAGCTTACTATGCATGCATATTTCCATAATGCATACCTCAACATGTCATAGAGAAAAAATAGAGATATCTTCATAAAGCACCATATCATTCCAACCTGGCGAGATCATCATTAGCAACAAAAAGAGCCGATATTATTCGAAGAAAAAAAGGAAAAAGGAAAAAGAAAAAGGAAAAAGGAAAAAGAAAAAAGAAAAAAGAAAGAGGAAAAAAAAAAGGACGAACCAAGAAAAAGAAGGAGAGGAAGAAGGAGAGGAAGGTGGAAAGGAGAAGAGAAGAGAAGAGAGGAGAAACACCGCTCATTTTGAATCGGAAGAGGGAGGGGCGTGCACAACAATCCAAGTATTCTAGGGAGAGAGAGGCCAGCCCTCAGAACAAAAAACATGGAAAAACGTTCAAGCGAACTGATGAATAAGCTCGAAAAAAAACAACCGATTATACCGCACACCTCAATCCTTTGCTGTCCACCGTCCACGTGGTTCCATACTAGGTGAGAAGGGGGGATGGGTCAGAAAGGGAAATGGGGAAGGGGGATGGGGTGTGACGAACCACCTTCTGTAACGCGCGATTTTCTGCGCGGATGCAACGAGGGGTCTTAAGCTGGGAAGGTTGGGCCAATTATGGGAGATTTGGATCGGTGGGAAATTGCATCAGTATCCTTGCTTTTTCGTCTTTTTCATCGCTTCTTTTCAAATGATTGGGTTCGGAGCTGGGTGTGTCCTGGGATGGCCGGTTGATTGATTGGTCGGCTGGATGGCTGGCGCGCCACCATGCGCGCGATTAATAAATGTTGACGTCATTTCTTTCGATTCGGTTTCGATCTTTTGGGCGCAGACATCGCGTGGGAATTTGCTTCGTTCTTTTTGAATTTTGTTTTGAATCTTTTTCGAATTTTGTCGAGCCCCGATGGCTCTAAGAATTTCAGACTTTCCCCCTGAAGTTCGTGCTTTTTGCTTCTTCGCATTAGATAGGAATTTAGGAATTCAGTAATTAGGATTTTTCTTGCCGCGCGGCGCCTTTTGTCTACGCACTTCTTCATGCGGCTGCAACGGTACCCTGATTAGTGGGCGCCCTTAATCGTGTGCGTAACTATAATTTTGGGCGGGCGCCATTGTAACTGTATCTTTCTTCTTGCACTTCGTCTTTCCCGCCCTCGCTCTCTTTCTCTTGCTGTGATTTTTGTAAGCCGCGGTTT